TGTGTGTGTGTGTGTGTATGTGTGTGTGTATGTGTGTGTGTGTGTGTGTGTGTATGTGTATATGTGTGTGCGTGTGTGTGTGTGTATGTGTGTGTGTGTGTGTATGTGTGTGTGCGTGTATGTATGTGTATGTGTATATGTGTGCGTGTGTATGTATGTGTTTATGTGTGTTCGTGTGTGTGTGTGTGTGTGTGAGTGCGTGTGCACGTGTGTGTGTGCGCATATGTGTGTTTGTGTGTGTGTGTGTGAGTGTGTGTATGTGTGTGTGTGTGTGTGCGTGCGCACGCGCGCGTGTGTGTGTGTGTGTGTGTGTGTGTGTGTGTGTGTGTGTGTGTGTGTGCGTGCGTGCGCACGTGTGTGTTAGCCTAGGCCTACCTTCGAGTGTGTTTCTGTGTCAATCTGTGTGACGACCAGATGTGTTGTAATTTAATATACGGATATGTATTTCACTTCTATATAATTTTGATGTTTGAATTACAAAATTCCAGGTAATTTTATACAAACAACAAACGGCACCGAACAAACTGAATGTTCTTGAAAGCGTTCTTACCTATACAGCCGCCGGACCTCATTGTGTATCCCGTGGTACACCTGCAGTCATAGGCGCCGATCAAGTTGATACATTCAGCACTCCTTCCACATATCCATGGATACACCGTGCACTCGTTGATATCTGAGTGAATAATTTGCAAAACAAATGCAAGGAAAGATCGCAACATTTTCTTGCTATATAATAATTGTTACTGCCATTTTCTTTTTTGTTGTTAGACGTAGGTATACCCATGAGAAATATCAGTATGATAACGATTCACTAGACAATATTTTGCAGCAACATTATTTTGTACTTTGCTGCATACTAAATATGTTATTGCAACAGTTATTCATTTTGCTTTTTAAAGTTAAAAGACTGACACCAATTTATTATATGGAGTATAATCATCATGCAGTCGTTGCTAACAACAACAACAATAACGAGACTACAGCGATTTCATACCTCCATCAAATATGTTTTAATGTTAATGTTTGGGGCAATTTTTCTCATTGATTACAAGAATAAGGTTACAAATAATTTGTTCCAGTTTGATGATTTCTTATTTTCTAAACTCAAATTACAATCTTTTATGTTTAAAATTCTTTGAAAAGAATTATTACTTGTTCTCAGAAATAATGTGTGGGTGCAGCAGGACAGGACAGGGGTGAGAGACACCAACCTTGACATTGTAGATCGGATCCCGTCCAACTGCCGTTCGCAGCGCACGTTCTGACCTCGTCTCCAAACACCCTGTGGTATCCAGAACGACATTCGTACGTGCACGTCTCGCCAAAAAGCACGGACGGGCCGCTGCAGCCTCGCCTGGTGGTGTTGCTGCCAGGTGCAGGGGGATTTGAACAACCTGGCAAATTGTCTAGTAGTACGAGAAAGACTAGTCAGTGGTTGCTATAATCGTGTGTGTGCGTTTATGTTTGTATTACAACTTTGTAAGAGTGTATGTGTGTGTGTGTTTGTGTGTGCTTGTATGTGTGTGTATGTGTGTATGTGTGTGTGTGTGTGTGTGTGTGTGTGTGTATGCATGTCTAATTATGTGTGTGTATATGTTAGTGTGTGCATGCATGTGTGTGTATATGCATGTGTTTGTTCGTGTATCTCTCTGTACTGTGTATCTCTATGAGTGTGTCTGTATGCTTGTGTGTACGTTCGCATGTATGTATGTGTGTGTGCGTGTGTGTGTGCGCGCGTAAGTATATTTGTGTATGCGTGTGTGTATGTTGTTGTGTGTTAGCATATCTCTCTCCGTGTTTGTATCACGTAAAGGCCAAGTGTCATTGTATACATGAACCTATGGCACTACTGTTCAATATGCAGAAGCATCTTGTGTATTGTCTATATGACAATATATCGACAAACGTAAACGTTTTTTTTTTACTTAATACTGAGTAATTTTGACACGAAAATGACACACGTGACGCATTGAACAAAAACAAAAAGTGACAATTTGACATCCTTAGTTTGGCAACGAAAAAAAACGGGGAAATAAGACAGTTTTTCTTCTCTAGTATTCCTTCTTTTCTGAATTAGTTGTACCCCAATAGGGGTTCAATAATGTCGCACCCTTGCCAGTTTGCACAGATTGTAATATCATCATCACTCTAGAAAGGCTCGCGAGCAAATACAGCATATTTCTCTTCATCTCTCTCCCAATAAAATCTACCGCACATGGCTTTACTCATGGATATAAATTTTTATCCACATGATATAAATTTCCGGGGAATGCATTAATTTCTCTCTTTCTCTCTCGCGCAAGTTTTTCCCGTTAATGCCAAAAGACATACTTTGGTGTTTTATTACTCATACATATATATATATATATATATATACCCTCTACATATACAAAGAAGGGTTAGGTGACTTTACCTGGTGTGGGAGTAGTAGCAGCTCCTGCAGTTGAAGAGACAACTGTGCTGGGGGCAGCTGTTGTACTACTTGTAGTGGTCACAGCAGGAGTTGTTGTTGGTGGAGGTGTGGTGTATCTGAAAGCTGGCAGAAATAATTAGGAAAGAGAAAGAAAATAAGACTTAGTACACCCTTATATTTTGTCATAAACACTTTTGGCAAAGTTATGTTGTATACCATTTAGTTTTCAGGGAATAACCTTTTTGGACGGTTTTGGTCAATAAAATCACAATGACGCCATAATGACGTCATATTACGTCATAACAATATAAAAATTGTGGTTTTGATACATTTTTACTAGTACACCATCTTCTAAAAATATGGTGCTCATACAACATACCGTTCGCGAGTTCTGGGGGGGGGTCGAATGAAAATAGCCCGGTATAGATAGGGTTAATATCACATGTTGTAAAAATGTTAAACAATGTGATCGATAGCAAGGCAATAAACTATGACGGATGTTCAACAAAACTTACTTGTTTCACATATGTATCTGTATGAAGCGCTGCAACCTGTGTCCGCCCACTTGTTTCTGCGTGAACTGTCGGAATGACTTCCATACAACAAAATGAGAACAGAGATATAGAAGAGTCATTGGGTTCCCCTGGAGCCCAGGCTGTAAACTCCCCGACGCGCCGTGCCTTGGCTGTCGACCCACGTTCCGCTCGGTCTACTGAGTCCGACCCAAAACTGAGCATTGCTGTAAACAAATAAATGAGAAAATTGAATTTCCCCTTTACACCCGTTTGGTACTGTTGTGATACAATGTTTCATAGTGAATGTTGTTTCCTAGTCTTTTCAAGTCTAGTAAAGAGGGAGATTGTGCCTAGCAGCACCGTTGTACTGGTGCATTGGCTAAAGCTAAAGTCACATTTTAAACGTGCCCTTAGCGGCATGCATGTTCTCGGCGCAGACAGGCTGAGGCGGCTTCTATTTAGAATTGACGAACTTTTGGTCCCTTTGACGGCCGGTCTCTGTCAGGTACCCGTCTGATGCCCGGTCAGTCTCCCGTCTTAACCTTTGCCTTAGGGAGCCGACCGGCTCTTATACTTCGGCCGGGCAGTTTTTTAATCCTGTCGGGCTCCAGGGGTGATCCTGGTGGGTCCCTGGCTAGCACGCCCAAAGGTGGTATGGTGTTTCCGCCCGTGATTGAGGCTAGAGTTGAGGCTCAGACTCATGTATTGACACTACGACTCACTGATAATGGACCTACTCGTATGTCGAGAACATCATTGCGACTTTCAATACTTTCTGTGAATGCCCTCTATAACCGCCTTCTTTTTTTTATTCCAACATGTAATCACCAGACGTGGTGACGACACACTCACGTTTTTTCAACTTATATTAATGCCGCAACCGACACAGGGGACAAATACATGACAGGACAATACTCATTTACACCTGAGCTAAGTGAGGAAAGTCGTGTAAAGTGCCTTTCCCAAGGGCACAAGATCGGTGGCATGTCAGGACTCGAACCTGGGACTCTTAGTTTCGAGTCGCGCACTCTGCCGCTACGCCACACGACCCCGTTGCCTTCTTTTGAACAGGTAATGCAACGATCATCACACGTGACGTCATAATCTTAGACTAGTGGGACCCGGCGGCTATGTTACGGAGTTACGACTTCGTGCACGTGCCGGCGGATTTTCCTCGTCGGAGCCCGGGGTGATTTTAAGTTCGAGTTAAAATCAATTGACTGCGCGGTGCCGAAAATAGGCCGGCAGCCGTCGGCAACCCAACCAGTCTCCGTCCAGGTCCCGTACGGGAGTGAAAAAAACAGTCCGCCGACGTGCCGAGCGGACCCTTTTTTTTGATTGTGACCTAGGCTTAAGTGGGTAAAGTGCTTGCCTTGCATTAGGTAGATAGTTAGTTTGATACCAACCTCGTCATACCAAAGATTAAAAAAATATGGTATACACAGCTTGATCTGCTTAGCACTCAGCATTTCGGAAAGTACGGGAGTGGAACACACCACTACCAGTGCTCTAGTCCACCGCTGCAGTGATTGCACTGCTGTGTGGACAAGGCTATTGAAACGGAGATGGGTGCCGACGTATACGTCATCTAATGCGGAAAGGAACTTAACTAACTTAACTTAATTCTTAATATGTGGCTTTTAGCAGCATTCGAGAGAAACGCTAAATAGCTCGTCCACTGAAAGTACTTTTAAAAAAAGTCAAGGGTCTATGATCTGATCGAGGAATTAAATTATGGAAACATTTCGTGTAAAAAAATCCAACAGGACAAAAAATATTGATGTACTATATGGTGTGAAGGTATATATTGAAAACTACTTACGCGTTCAGACAGTTCTTGAAAAACACAAGATACTCCTGCTCGTTCCAGTCCCGCGGCACGGCGACCATTCCTCCCACCGCGGCACACCTTGTCTGGGCCGTGGAGTAGAGTACGCTCTCGTCGGATGGCGACACGTATACGTACGTTTTGCCATTGGGCAGACTGAAGTAACCATTCGTCGGACAACTTTCGGGGAGATCCCAACCTGCAATGAAAAGTCACAGGAATATTGAAAATTCAATGCCAAAACTATTATTAATTAAATATAAGACATTTGGACTAAGTTACTAAACGAGCTGTCTTTTTTGTCCTATTGGAAATGTTGTTACTCACCGTCGCAGTTTTTCCCATCTCCGTTGAGTGTTTGTCCGAGGTGACAGGAACACTGGAAGCTGCCCTCAGTGTTGGTACAGACGTGCTCACAGCCTCCATTGGCGTTCGCGCACTCGTCAATGTCTGTTGGTAATCAAAATGCAATTTGTCAATTGCTAAATCCAGATGTTTAAGTTATTAAAGCATTTATTAGAGTAGCATGACTCTAATTTGATCATACTTGATTGATATGCAAAGCTATTTTACTGGTCGTAATTTCAATGTAAGTTGAGTCGATCCTATCCCATAGCATTCTAACATTTGTGAGGTATTTCGTCCTCCATAATATTTCTGGTTTTGCTGCCCTCATATTGCATTACGTGCCTTTAAGGGTTCCGGGTCGGAGTTTAATTCTGATCAGGGTTCCAAATAGTGCGTAGTAAATCGCTGGATCTGCGAGGTTGTGACGCTAGGTTTGGCTCCCCATAGCTCGGCGATCGCTGTATATTT